CTTTCCAAAAATGAACCAAGTTTAAAGTTAAGTTTAAAACCACTCTTTCTTTATCCATTATGTTCTATCTCAAAGGAGACCTTTATTGCCAGAGAGCCATTATCCTATTGTCTGCACCCTTCGGGTACTTTGAGCAGCGTGACAGGCATCCATCACGCACTGGCCCACAGCTGCAAATAAACCCGACAGTGGCCATTCCCCCGACTGCTCCAGGGCAGCACGAACCCCCTCGCCCGAGCAGTGACAGCTCACACGCAGTGCAAGCACATGAAGAGAGAGTCCTGCCTCACCCACATCACAGAACATGTTGACTTTGATGTCTATCTTCTGTGTGCAAAATCAGTATCGCTACAATCCGTTACTTTTCACAGGTTTCTAAGTTCAAAAGTAACAGTGTGTAGAAGATGCACAGAAAACACTGCTTGCAACTTTACCTTCAACTGCCATTAATTTTACATTCAATTTACATTAATTTTAATGAGTAGATTCATGCAAATAGTACAAAAGCAGAAATACCCACTGATCAATGATCCTTCTATGAAGAATCACTAAATGCTCAAAACAGACTGTTAAGAGAAGTCAGGATAAAACACAGTATCAGGAAATAGGAGAAAGAAAACGGATAAAATAAACCTTAGGCACAAAAGAAGGGAGTAACTGATAGAGATAATGCAACTGAGCAGCAAAATTAGGCAGCCCTATTAGCACTTCTCATGCACAGCAGCTGAGCCATCAGTTAAAAATCCAAGCAAAATACATCACCACTAAAAGCAAATATTTGTGTCAGCATCTTCTGTAGGACAGTAAGGGGAAGCAATCACAAACTAGAGGGCTGACGACCAAGCTGGCAATGCCTGTGACAACTTTCTGGCAATCCGGAATGGGTGGAGAAAGTGACCACTGAGAACCTTTTCCTCCCACCCAGACCCTGTGGGAGCAGCCTCAGAGCTGGGAAAACCAGGCCAAGCAGCCCCAGCTGCACCCACTCTGCCTCCACAAAGAGACCGGAGCCTCCATCACCAAGCCTTTAGCTCCAGAACGCTGGAGTGAGGCTAGGGAGGCTTCCCACAGCCCTTGCATCCCGGAAAGTTTACGAAGTGCCCGTATTTATATTTCATCTGACTTTTGAGGAAGATGTATTTGCACTTGACAATGGCTGGCTTTTAGCAAAGCTGTTTTAATAAAACACTAGGCAGCTTTAAAGCCTTATTGAGATTACCACTTATGAACAAAAAAAACCAAGGGAGGCAAAAGGAGAAATTGTCAGCCAACATCAATGCCACTTGACTTCCTTTTAGTCACCATGAGTGTCTTGTGTACGGAAACGCATGCATCCCTCGTGCACTATTAAAACTCCTAAATTATGGCTACCCTTCACCCAGGCACAAGCCTGCTCCTGAGCAAAATAGTACTAGGTATTAAACACAAAGAGCAACAAAAGGAACCAGAAGAAGGGGAGATTCAAATTCAGTTTAATATATTTAATGTGAAATCAAAGTTCTTTACCCAGGTGGTCACCAAGGCATCAAGATCAGACTGAACATGAGAGTGAAACCCTAAGCGGGACGAGAGAGACAGGGACGCAGCCTGCAGTGAACAGATGGATCAAGAGGCTGCTGTTCAGCTAAAAGAGGAACCGTGGTGCCAGTTTGCTTAAGCACGTTCTTGTTGTAATGAAGTTCAAAACAAATCTCTTCCGCACTGCAGCCAACTGCTACTCCTCAGCCATGTCTCATCTAAGGACTACCAAAGTGCTTTCAGAGGCAGACGAGCATCTTTGACATTCATTTTGGTGTGGCAAGAACACAGAACACATTATCATCAGGTCCTATAAAAAACATCAGTTTAGGGAGAGAGGTGAACTGGCTACCTGCTCCAGCCTTTTCATCAACTTTGGTGAGCTGAGCTAAGCTACGCGTGCCTAGAGGCGGCAAGAGGTGCTCCCTGCGCATCTGCTCATGCCGGCGAAGCCTGTGCAGTTACGCACCGGTGCTGCCTCACAGCAGGCCATTACTGCAACAAAGCAGGAAAACGTCCTTCTAGAAGGAAAGGATGTCCCGCACCATGACCACCCAGAAAGGAGATGCTCTGATCCCAGCCGTCTCTGCTGATCAACATCGGGACTTGACAGAGCCCCAAAACCACACTTCCGAGCAAAGCCCTGCAGCTGGCCAGCACAGCCACCCCCGCCTACACCTGCCACAGATCTGATTCTTGCACACCTCAGTTCAAAATCTCTCATTAGCATGTAAAATCCAGTTCACAGTACTTCTATTGTCATATTATTTACAAGAAAAGTAGGGAAAACACAGCAAAGTGCATTTCCTTGGACCGCATTTTCATAAAGAGTTCAGACCTTATAGCCTCCCCCCATATTTGCTCCAGAAACTGATCTCGCAGAAGCAAGTTCTGCACCAGCTCTGAGACATTTGCACCAGTTTCCCCCTAAATGCATCCAAGAGACTGGACATTGAGCTCTCTCTCCCTGTAACAGAGGTCTTGCTCGCTTCAGTGAGAAAAGACAGGTTATATAAAGGATTAGAGAGGATGACAGTTTCAACAACTGGGTTAATGTCTGTCAGTGGAGATCTGTTGGCTACTGAGATCAAAAGAGCCTTTCATGGCCATAAAATGACCTTACTTCCACTGTGGTGAGATAATGATTGGTGGATCTCACAGGCTCTTGTGCTGAACTTTCCCCCTGTTTTCTCCCTGTGGTCTTCAGGCAAGGTAAGCAATGTAAATAGCCACAAGGTACCTTAACTCCACTGAACAAGCATGATCCTGTTGTGAAGCATTCGTTCAGTAATTCTTCAAAATCATAAGTAAGGCTGTAATTTGCTATCACTATGAACCAGCCACTCATTTAATTCTTCCAAAACCTCTTCTTTCCACAGAAATTATTCTGCATCTGAAGCAAAACTCAGTGGCATCACCAACCTGTTTTGTTTGTGGTTCTGGCTGTGTGGGTTTTTTGTTGTTTGGTTAGTTTTAAGCTGAGAAGTGAGTAAATGCACTCAAGTCAGACCCAACAGAGAAAAGCGCAGCACTGTGCTGGCACTGCCTGCACTTGCCACCGGGCAAGCGGGCCACTGGAGGGACTTGGAGCCCCGCTTGCAGCACTGTGCACTCGGTTATCCAGCTCAGCTGAAACCAACCTGGCAGAACAGAACTGAAGAGCTCTGTGTTTCAATGCTGTTTCCAAGCCATCCTCTGCCCCCTGAGCTTAGGGTCAGAAAGCAGTGCACATCTGCAGCAGTTCCACCCAGCATCAGGGAGGTGAGCAAAGGAGGAACCAGCAACTGGTGCCTTGTGCCACTGCCCCGTCCCCAGCGCTGAGCACAAAGGGCACTGTTCGGCTGGGACCAGCCCAGGGCTGCACACCAGCCGCAGAAACCTCTAAAACGCAACCCAGTTTTCTGCGCCTGCAGCAGAGCCACCCTCCAAAGAGGCCAGAGCAGTCATGGCTCCTCCAGCCCCGGCTGCGCTGCTTTGCTGTCTGCCACTCCTGGAAGACCATCACACCCGTTACCGTGTTATCTGGCCAAGTGAGGAAACAAATTACTTAATTTATAGAGAGGCAGGAGGCTTTGATGCAGCAGATAAGACAACTGCTCTTGTTAATATTTTATATTATTGTTACAGCTAAACATTATTTCCCACACTGCCTAGGCTGAGGCTTTCATCTTGGAATTAAATATTTCTCTTTAAAAATTCAGCAGAACACACATGGTGTATAATATTTTAAGACTTCTGTCCAGCTTCACCGGTGCTGGTGAAAGGAGATGTGAAACACCGCTCTGGGCCAAAGCCCGTCATGTCCCGGGGGGAACCAAGAGTCCGTGCGTGCTCGGGTTTCCCTCACACCAGCAGCACCGGTGCTGTGTCGGCATTCAGCTGGAGCAGGTTGTTACCAGCACCAGGGAAAAACCGAGCACATCCCAGGGCCTCTCAGTGTGTCTCTGAGCATCAGCAACCAGCACCGGTAAGGCTCCGGGGGGGAAGTGTCTCCATCCTAAAGCAAAACACCCTCAACAGGGCTAAGCTTTACCACAGGGAAAAAAAGGAAAGGTGGAGGGTGACGTTTCCATGAAACAAACGCTTTTTAGGAGGAGAGAAGATTCAGGAATACATAGTTTTGACTGAAATTTTTTTAACCCCAGCTAATCAGAATGTATTTTAATAACTGTTGGACCTTTACACAAAAATGAATTAAGTCCCACTGAACTATACTTCCTCTAACACATGTGCCATCAGCAATGACTTCCTGTGGCAGACTTAATCAGAAATGGAAATTCATTTAGCACCTCACTGATAAATCGTTATGGTAAAGCTCTTCAACAGAATGGAATTAAAAGGAACCATGTAATACTATTATACAGTTTGCTTGTGGGGAGTGGAGTGGGACACACCTCAGCATTTTGCACTGTTTTTTATTACAGTGTCACATGTTATTTGGATTTGACTCCTTTAAATTGTGCTCTGGCTTATGTTTTATCCATTTTATTATTACATTTTCAATGGCCTGCAGTCAAAGTGAAGTCAGATAATTATGTTCTAGATAAATACCAATATATATGCTGAATCATTTAAACATCTGGATAACTGCTCAGACCTGTACTTATCTCGCTGATCTCGGATCCCCGATCCGCAGCAGGTTTGCGCAGCCTTGCTCAGCAGGGAAGAGCAGATCTTGCACGGCAAGCACCGCTGCCGGTGGGCCTGGACCCCACCCCCCCGGAGGGGGCACAGCACCCCACCGCTGTCCCGCCTGGCGGATCGCCGCAGCGGCGGCGGGAACCCACGCACAGCCCTGCTGCGGGCTACTCCTCTGCGGCAGAGCACCCCCAGGTTTGCCCCTTCCCTCGCTCCCCCCACCACACCGGAGCTGGCCACCGCCCGAAAGCGGCAAGAGGCGTGGAAGAGGGTGGTGTGAATACAGACTCGCCAGAAGAGCAGGAGAGGCAGCAGGGAAAGATATTCGGGTGTTTTGCGACAGTTCACCTGCCCAAGCAGCCGGCGAGCAGACCCTGGGGGACGGACACACCGCCAGGCAGGGGCCGGCTGCGCACAGCAGCCCACCCCGCTGCCCCGGGTCGGACAGAGCCAAACTTCGCTTTGGCTTTGCTGGCAAAAGAGGCTAAGGTTCCCCACAAGACAGTCACTACAGGCAAGTCCTCCACGGCGGATTCTTTATACATATTGTTCAGGATGATATCTGTATTAATCAAGAATTTGTAGGTCAATGACTTTAAAAACCTTCAGGCTGTAATGAAATGCCTGAAATTCATATGAGAATCAACACTGAAATTAAAACCAATTACATTGCAAAGTAACACTTACTGTGCCCTTCTGCAGCACCAAAAAATCATGTATTGAAAGAATTAATTCTCATTACCAGGGACTACAAAAATAAGATAGGATGTCTTCTGCACAGTATTTTAAAGCTTGCAACAGGCTACTGAAATATGGGCCACAGAATACTTCTAAATATGTAACATCCAAAACTTCAGATATCACACTTTGGCAAATACCTTCTGTGTTTTCATATAGTCTATTTCACAAAGCAGCAATTTTTAGGTCATTCAGGAAGTTTTACTTGGAATGCTTGCTATGTTGCTCAATTTTTTTCCTGATACTGGACAGCCAGAAACACACATGCAGCCTCCAAGGAGCCTGGGTTTACATCTCATGGGCGCTGACAGCAGTGCTTTCACACTCCTACATAATCAGTGACAACACAAGAAAATTTCTTTCATCAGATTAAAGTTCATCCTGTATATAATGCACATACCCAATGTTAAATTCTATTTTGAGTGATTTATGCTACCTCTGTATGAATTTAGCAAATTAAAGTTGTATTTGTATCACCTGCTTTCATTCAGGATGATGTCTTAGCAAGATATTCTAACCATATATTTAATGTGGTTAGTCCCACTGAATTTAACAGGCTATGAAGTCAGCTGTATGTGGACAAATTCAGGAAGATATTCACACGGGGCATCTTGTAATTTCTGTTGTCACATTTGGGTAAAAACCAAAAAACAGGAAGTAGTGAAATGAAATGCACAGCAACTTGAGGACAAGGGGGCAGAGGTAAACCTGATTTTAGTAGCCAGAAAAAAGTACTGTCAAGTATCTACTAACATACAAAGTAAAGTTTATTTTACCCTCTTGACTGTAAACTGGAGCCAGAAGGTAAGATATTCTCTGCTACTAAAAAAACAACGTAAGCCTGAACACACTGGCATTGAAGGAGAAAACTGCACATATACAAAGCTTACAATAAATCCTTTGCCAAATTACACTGAGATGAATTGGAACCATTTGAAAATTTGATCGTCGTATTCCTGGTTCAAGTTTATAAAATGGTTTTCTCAAGTTGTTTCCATGTTTTGTGGTCCATACCATCACTCCTGAGCAGCCTGTAACTCCCCATAATACTTTCAGGTGGTGCTACCAGCCCTTAGTCATGAGCCTTTACAACAGAAAACATTTTAGAGCTGTATTCACATGAGAGCACCAGTGATGAGCAGCCATTACTCTGAGGCTGCTTTGGGTTCATATCTGCATTGGGTTTGTGTGGCAAGGTTTTGGTAGTGGGATGGTGTGGAGGGGGGCAGCACCCCATGGCAGCAACCCAGGCAGGAGCAGTTCATGAAATGCAGCCCATGGGAAGGACTCACATTGGAGAAGCCCATGGAGGACTGTCTCCCGTGGGAGGGACCCCACACTGGAGCAGGGGCAGAGTGTGAGGAGTCCTCTCCCTGACGAAGGAGCAGCAGAAACTACATGTGATGAACTGACCACAACCCCCATTCCCCGTCATCCTGAACTGCTTTGCAGGGAAGGGGGAGAGAATCAGGAGTAAAGCTGAGCCCGGGAAGAAGGGAGGGGTGGAGGGGAAGATCCTTTAAGATTTGGTTTTATTTCTCACTAGCCTACTCTGATTTTGATTGGCAATAAACTAATTTCCCCAAGTTGAGTCTTTTTTGCCCATGACACTAATTGCTGAATGATCTCTCCCTGTCCTTATCTCAACCCACAAGCTTCTCATTGTATTTTCTCTCCCCTGTCCACCTGAGAAGGGGAGTGATAGAGCAGCTTTGGTGGGCACCGGGCATCTAGCCAAGGTCAACCCACCACAACATCCACAGGGGCTCCTTGCCTGTGGTGGGGTCAGGCTCATGGCCACAGCTCACACCAGGGACGAGCCAGCACCAGACTCAGGGTTTCGTCTCATTTCCACAGTGACCTCAGACAAGTGAGTTAGTTACAAACCGAGAGAAGGCAAAGTAGGGGGTAGGGCTGACCACAGCCTCTGTCACACCAGTCCGAGCTGGAAGATGGCTGTGGAGCTGGCACCAGGTCCTGCACACACCTCCCCTCGACAGCCCAAGACCCCGCGGGGAAGGCTCACTCCCATGGGTTTGTGATCAACCCCAGGCACCTCCACCAGGCATCATGCAGCCAACACACAGCAACGCTCGGCTGCCGCTCTCCAAGAATCAGTTTTCCTGCAAATCCTGCAATCTGACAGCTCCCCCTCCGATGCAGTATTTGAGACATCTAGCACAAGAGTTGCATGGCAGCTACTCAGCACAAAACCAGACAATTTTTCCACCATTACACAGTAAATAAATTACATTCCATTTTCTCAGCAAAGCTTTTCACAATTCCATTTCCATTCAAAAGTTTAAAAAAGTTTGTTGCCAGAGGAGTCCAGTGCTATTATGATGAGGTGTGTGTCCAAAGCAGTGTTATATGTGTATATACATGGAAAGCGTGCTATAGCCTCTCCCAAGAGGATGCTTTCACGGAGGTACAATCAGATGCAAAGCCTTTTATGTAGTGCAAGGCAAAAGCCCTTTAGTCTTCTGTGTCAAGAGTCCTTGCATTTTATTTTTTGGAGAGCTGCTGTCATACACCTTCCTGTTCCCCCAAGATACTAGAAGATAACTAACAAGTTTTCTAATAAAACTTTTTACGCCTAAAAGACATGTATTGAGATATAATGCTTGATCAAGAAAATAAATCCTTACTTTATACCATTTGGAGTCAACCAAGCAATTAAGTTTTTATAGCTTCAATGTGCCTCCTGAGACTTGACTTGGTGTTTTAGAATGCAGGTCAGAAGGGAGCCAAAATGAAAACTAAAGACCCTTGTTCAAAAGCAGCTATGCATTTCCTGCCATCCCAGGGAAGCTGATTAATTCTCCCCCAGCTTTATATTTTTCTTTCTTAATGATGCTCTGTCAAATGCACGTTAAAGTTCCAAGGCACCAACCCCTAATCTGTGTCATTTTTTAATTTAAATTGCTACTGCTTCCTACCAAGACAAGTCCACAATAGTCAGATTTAGCAAGATAGGAAGAAAAGCGACTTGTTAAAGCATGTGTAGTGGTACCTAACTTGCAAATATTTATCACTTGTACTTTCACTCCTGATCTGAGTACTGAGGCATGTTTTTATTTACATGATGGCATCTTAAAAGCAGCTGATATAGTTTTAAATGTTTTTACCAGATCTTCCCAAACAGCTGTTTTCAAACTTTGGAAAGGCACAGTAGGAAGAACACGGATGACACATGGCCTTACTGAAATTACATGTTTTCTATTTAGATTGCAAAGACTATGCAAGAGGAAGTGTCCCACTACAAGAGGCAAAGGAAAAATCCAAATTTTTCTCTCTCCACTGAGAAAGAAGTTATCCCCCCCAATAAATTGGAATGCCATTTTTATCAATCTTTGTCTTTCCCAGCCTCACATTAGCATAGTGCTATTAAAATCAGGTGTGCATAAATAAAAACATAGCCATTTCCAGATAGCATTTTATGACATTTTAACATAAAACAAACTCCGTGCAAGCAGCAGGGACACACACCCCCCACCTCCACTCCAGCACTGATAAGGATGGTAAAGCGCCTTCTAAGCTTAAAGTGCTGAGTTTAACAGCTTTAGCTTGTACTTTAGTCACTGCTAACTGTTGCCAGCTCTGACCTTCCCTGGGACCCAACTCCTGAAACACCCAAGCAAGCAAGGGCACAGCAGGGCCCTTTTTGGCCCCAAGGAGATCAGAAGCAGGCGAGGCACGTGGCACGGAGCAGCAGCCGCCGATGGCGCCGCGCTGTCACCAGGTCCCTCGGCACTGAGACGTGGCCCTGGCCGTGCCCGAAGCCAAGGAACTCGAGCACTCCCAGACACGACCCCCTGCTCAGCAGCTTTTGGATGACGCCTGGCATTAAACACACTTTTACAAGCAGCGGCGTGCCCGAGCTGCAGAGGAGGTAGTTCACCCTCAGACACACTCAAGGGGCTGACAGTGGCACAGCAGGTACAGCAGGAGGCACCAGGAACAAATCCAGCTCAAGCTAAATTTGCTGGTTACATTTTACTTACTTTCTGATACATCAGGAATATAACAAGAGTAATGAACTGTCACCGAAAACCATGAGATTTTGGTAAGTAAAAGTTCGGAGGTTTATTTTAACTTGTCTTCTGGCTTAGATGCCTTCTGGTTACACCCAAGTCACTCTCAGGCTGTGCTGCAGTTAGAAGCACTAGGAATCTGCTCAGCAGAAACTCACTATAGTAACAAGATGCTGTGTTAGGTGGATGTTTGACTGAACTCCGTGACAATGTTAATGTTTTAAATAAACTTTACCATTCTCTCCCAATAACCCGATTCCAGGGTTGGCATTTTAAAAAGTCACAAGACTATTAGAACCCAATAATGTGGAAGATTGCTATGACCCACCGTATCTCTAAGTGCCTGGTAAAGAGAAGCTTTTAAAAAGTTTTTCAACTGTACGTAAATGCAAAGATTGAACAGCACTTGCATTTGCTCCTGGTTAGTTCCCCCCCCTGAGAATTTCCCTCCTATTAAAAGTCTAGTATATTCACTTCTGGTCAAGACGAAAGAGAAGCCTGTTGCATACAAATATTTCAAGCAATATGTACATTTAATTTTTAAAATCTTAAAAAATATTAAGGTAGTGGGTTTTTTTGCACTAAAACATTAAAGTCCTTTGGAACACTGCAGTAAATAATACAAGCAGGTTAGCTGATATTGCTTATGCACATGATACAAAGGTGCATAGTGGATTTGCAGATCCCTTCTTTAGCTGATGTTTTGGACACAGCTGAAGAGGGAACTTCAAGGAGGAGCACCAAATTCACAGCATACATACAACTCGCACTTACTGGTGTCAAACCTCCT